ATGAACCTTATCAAAACTAGACACTTTCATCTTCTGAAAGACTCTTTGCAGAAAATAGAGAAAAGCTACAGATAGGGAGAAAATATTTGTAAACTACTTATCAAAGGACATTTAGAATATAGTAAAGAACTCTTAAAACATGGCAGTTAAAAAACTAAAACAGACAAAACCAGCCAATCTAATTAGAAAAATTAGCCAAGGACATATACGATGGCAAGTGTCATTAATTACTTGGAAAAATGCAAGTAAAGTAAACCTGTAATGGGCTATTCCTACACATCAAGGTAGCTCACACAGTGAAGAGCATCACCAACAAATGCTGGCAAGGATGTAGAGAATCGAGGTCACTTGTACATTGTTCCTGGAATGTGACATAATATACTACTTTGGAAATAGTTTGGCAGCTTCCTGTAAACCTAAACTGTCACATGACCCAGAGTTATACTGTTTGACAGGAAAATCAAAACCTACATTTTGCTGAACATTCATAGCAGCTTTATTTATAGTGGCCAAAGACCAGAAAGCAGGTGTTCTCCAAAAATTTGTTTATTGCAGTACATCTATAGCAGGGAATAAACAAATTGTGGTATATCTACAGCAGGGAATACTACCCTGCACTAGAAAAGAATCAACTAGTGATACAGTGATGAATCTCAGATGCATCTTTAGAGAATTATTTTGAGTGAAAAATTCTCTCCCAAATGGTTAAATATTGTGTGGGTCCATTTCTGTAACATTCCTAAATGACAAAATAATAGAGATAGCGGATAGATGAGTGGTTGTCAGGAGTTAGGGAAATACAGTGGGAATGAAAGTAAATGGATTCCTATTGTCTGGTTTTGAAGGCCTGTAATGCTTTCATTACTCTGTTTTGATCAGTTTTTTTTTTTGTATGAATTCATTGTGTGTGAAGATATAGACAACTATTTAGATGAAAACAAAAGACGTTATGGTAAGTACTATTGATCTCCTGTTGTCTGGCTTTGAATTCCTGTGTTACTTACCTTGTTTTCTTCTGATCTGCTTTGTTCTGTTTTGTTTTACCCTCTTTAAAAATTTTTTTTAATTTAAAAAAAAAAAGGAGCACAACAGATTTTTGTAGTGGTACTGTTCTATGTTTTGATATTGGTCGCAATTATGCTACCAATGCATATGATAAAATTTGTTAGATTTGCCTGACTGGGATATACAAAGTCCTAGATATGATCCCCTGGGGTAGAGGGAGCATCAAACTATATATATAATCACAAATGAGTGAAGAAAAACTGGTGAAATTTGAATAGGATGTAGGATTGGTAGATTAAGTCCATGTCACCGTCTTGGTTCCAAAATTGCTTGCAGTTACTCAAGATCTTCCCATCAGCTAGACATGGTGGTGCACACCTATAATTCCAGCACTTGGGAGGCTGAGGCAGGAGGATCACTGTGAGTTGGAGATCAGCCTGAGCAACATAGTTAGTTCAAATTCAGGACTAAATAGCAAGACCTTGTCTTAAAAAAAAAAAAAAAAAAGAATAAGAAATAAAGCTGTTCCCAACAAGGGAACTATATGAAAGTGAGGGGCTGAGGAACTGGATGCAAAGTACATGGTACCCTTTGCAGTATTTCTTGGGAAATGTTTCACAGGAAAATTTTTTTTTCTTGGAACCTGTAGTCTTCTCAGAATAAAACATTTAATATTTTAATTCAGATAACTTTGAACATAGTATGCTGCACATCATCCATGGAATATACTTGAAGGAAAATCTCGAATGTTACTGGTAGGCTGGTTTTCGGCAGTAAAATCTGCAGTGGTTCCAGACTGTATTGTTGTATTATGGGCTGGAGCGAATGAGTGTTGATGTGGTCAGGAACCGGATTCCAACTAGAGGAAAAGGGACGTTTCAGTGTGAGATGGAGGAAGGGGAGGCAAGGCCCTGGGGTGTGGGTTCCAGATGAGAAGAGTTAATGAGGCATAAATCCAGGTTTAAGAAATATCCTTTTCCTAGCTCTGGACATTAGAAGAACACTGCATATGAAGACACTTCAATAATAGTGAACATTCCTTTACCTGAATCTTGGTTTCTAAATATCTACCCCTGAGAAACCACTGCTCCTTGAAAAGTGGCTGGTTCCAAGCTGAAGTGGGAGATTTTCAGGGTGAGTCTGGACACCTCATTCATGAAGAAGTCAGTGTTCAAAACAGTGGGGTATGGTTTCATATGACTGAGTAATCATCTGAAGGGGCTCCACTGGCCAGATCTAAAATGCTGATTTGGACAGTAAAATTAATATTGACAGGCATAAATAAAGTGAATAATGAATATGGCATATAGAATTTTTTGAAAATTCTAAGTCCATTCTGCTATAAAGACATAATAGGCATAAATGAAATCCGAAGAAAGGAAAACTGTCCTTATAGAAGAGTGCCAGCAAGTACAGGAAGAGTGATAAACCATCCCTCTTTATCTAGTGTGAACCCTACAGATCCCCAGAGGCCTTTGTATTGACACTGGGCTCCAGCTTGCTGCCATTTGGACGTGGAGGGGCCCTGAGGAGGGGAATCTAGCGGAGGAAGAGAGTTCATTAGGGTGTGATCCTACAGGAAGGAGATTTGGGGACCCTGGCCTCTCATGTTTCTTTCTCCCTGCCTCCTGGCCACTGTGCAGGGAACAGGCCTCTTCCACAGGCATCTGCTATGATGCTCTGCTCCACTGAGGCTGAAAGCAGCATGATCAAGTGACTATAGATTAGAGCCCTTGAAACCACAGGCAGAAGGGAACCTTTTCCTTCATTAAGGTGATCCTCTCAGTTAAATCGATTACAGTAATGCAAAGCTGACCAGCAGTGTCATAGCATGTCAAATTTATGAATTGACCTAAAACTCTCCGATGAAAGACTTTGAGGAATTGGTAAGCTGGCAGCACCTCTCACACAGATTATTTCCTGAATAGTAAGGCTACAAGACTCCCTCATGTGTCCTGTCTTCCAAAGAGCTAAGGGCCCACAGTGCAAGTGTGTGTAATGGAGAAGAGGAGAGGAGATGGACCTTGATGATAGTCTTGAAGACATGGGAATGCTTCTGTCTGTGGTCAGCAGAGTAGTGGCCCCCAATCATGTCCGTGTCCTGACCCTTTGAATCTGACTGTTGCGGTTTGTGTCTGGATGTCCACTGAAAACCTCTTTTGGTCATGATGGGGTCAGCTTTTTGGAGGTGGCTGAATCTAGAGTTTGTGATTGGTTCATTGTCTAGTGCTGGGATTAGGGGTGTGAGTGCTACATTTGCCCTAGGGTGGGTAGCTTGCATACAATATAAGGGAGGAAAAGAGTCTTGCTTCTCCCTTTTGCTCTTGTTGGTTTTGCTGTGTTCTGCTGCCATTGAATTATTGCCCCTCTGCTATACTACTCTGTCTTGGAGCCAGCTGATTATGGACTGAAATCTTTACAAACTGAGCTGAATAAAACTTTCTTCTTTTAATTTTGGGTATTGATTATTTTGTCTCAGCAATGAGAATAAAGTAACTAAGACAGTGAATGTGTTATTTTGCATGACAAATGAGAATCAAGTTTGCAGGTGAATTTGTCTGAAGAGAGACAGTGTAATCATGAAGATCCTTTAACATGGAAAAGGGGAACAGAGAAATAGGTCAGAGCAATGTGATGTGAGAAGAGTTTACCTGTCCGTGCCAGCTGTGAAGGTGGAGAGAGGATCCACAACCCAAGGAATGCAGGCAGCCCATGGAAGCTGGAGAAGCCAGGAGGCAGGTCCTCTCTAGAGTCGATCAATACCTTGATTTGAGTTCCAAGAGACATGTCGTGAACTGCAGAACTGTGTGATTACACAGAGGTGCTGTTTTAAGCCACCAGGGCAGTGGCCATCTGTTACAGTAGCAGTTTTCCTTACAGAAAATACAGTCTATAAGGGGACTTCAAGGGAGGACTGAGAGGACAAGGCGAAGCTGACAAGCCCCCCAGCGTGGGCCTGGCTCTGCTAACCTTGACTGAGAAAGTCTCTGTTCTGCTGCCTGCAGCCATGCTGTCTGCCACCTTTCCTAAGGTGGACCCCCAAACACACTGGCAAATGAGGGGTTGAAGCCTGAACTTCCTCCACGCCCAGGAAAAACACAGAGATGTGTGAAGAGCAGGGTTGGTGGGGTGGGAGCCAGGCTGGGAGTCATGAATGAGGGAGGAGGAATTAGACCACAGTAGACAAAAACACACAGGTAAGGACAGACCTAAAGGCTTTGGGATGATTTCCAGAGCAGCCTTCCTTCTGTCTGTCTTCAAGTTCCTGCCGCTGAGCCCTTCAGGGAAAGAGATCAACTGAGAGAGGAGATGGATTTCATACCAGACTGTGGCCATGCTGGTGGAGAGAGAGCTATGGATTTACACACTGGGGAGAGCTCTTGTCACTTCTTAAAGCAATCATACCAGACTGGATGGTGACATCTGTGACACTGAGGACAGACATGGTTGGGTGGAAGACTGAGGCTGTGCTCTCAGAGTTTACCTCTAAGAGAAGCTGTGTCACACCCAGGGCCCAGAACAGCTGCCAGACTGAAGACCACACAGCCAAGGTGGCCGGAGGATAGGACACAGGGATGTAAAACCTGGACAGGAGCAACTGAAGGCCCCAGCAGCAGGAGACACAGAACCTGGTGTGAAGTTCACAGCCTGAGTAGGGAGCATCCTGCCCTTCTACCGCCAATGATGGAGGCAGGTGGAGGACCTTCTACTAGGAGGCTGAGGAAGGACCCTCGCGACTGGGGGTAGAAGATTATAGGCAAAGGACCAGCCTGAACTGTATAATGGCACCCTGTCTTAAAAAAATAAGAGAGAGGGAGGGAGAGAGAGAATACAAAGGGAGGGCCGCTGGAAGAGAAGCAAAGCCTTCAAAAATCCAACTGTGGTTTTCTATCTAAGATCCTATACACAGCCAAATTGTTAATTGAGTGTGAGGGTAAAAGCAATTTTCAGACTTGCAAAATCTCAAAATATTTTATCCTCACATACTTTCTTAGGAGCAGACAAGAGGCTGTGCAGAGGCAAAACAAGAAAAAGGGAAATGCAGGACGCAGGCAAAGGAGCCAGAGCCCAGAAGAGCAGTGAGTAGCACTGGAGGTGCGCTGTGCTGTTTGCAGGCTGGAGAGCCGCCAGAGTGGGAGCAGGAAGCCCCACTGTACTCCTGCAGCTGCCGGATTCCATGGAGGGGCTGGTGAGGAGCTCAGGGTCAGCCCTGGGGATGAAGAGGTGGATTTTAAATGAAGAACTCATGCACTGGGAGAGCTGTCTCCAGGAAAGGACATGTAACCCGGCCCACCAAGTGGCTCGGCAGTGGGCAGTGATTATGGCGCCCCAGTATTGAATGTTGACCTTATAGGAGTATGTAGCAAAACGCCCATGGGAAAGGACCAAAAGCTAACCCCACAACATCCATCCTAGGAAATTAACTACTGATATTGCAAATTGATGAATCAGGAGTGAAAACTGGCATGGAGAGGCCTATTGAATGTGCGGAGGGGATAGGAGTGTAGATCTGAAGCCAGTGGGGGTGCTGGGAGGATGGGCTACACTGCTGGCTTTGAGATATGTTTACTATTTTATATTATGTGTGTGCTTCCTTTGATTAAAATATTTGGTTGGTTGAAATGAAGACTCACTACATTTTAATAAGCAAACACTCTGATAAAAGAAGGAAGGAACATGGCCCCATGGAAACGGGGCCTGGGTCAAGGGTAGCAGACTACTGGTGGGTTTCCTGTCTGCCCTCAAGGCCAAGCCCTCTTTCCTCCTCCCTTACCTCTTTCCACTTCTTTCTCACTCCTGGTTTCTTGAGGCTACAGTGATGATGTGGACCTGTCTGGTGACAGACCACACTCCCATGGCCTGGTGGTATTGGCTTGAGCAGAATGAGCAGCCCCAGAGCAAAACCCTGCCTAGAGGACAATCAGAATCTGGGCCCAGCTTGATTCCAATGTGGCTATCCAAAGGGCTGTTAGGGATAAGGTTGCTGGCTCTGGGAAGCAGTGGTACATTCAACTGCCTACTTCTTAGTGTATTAGTACAGTGCTAGATCACAAGAACTTGTCAAATTAAAAGTGCAAAGGGGGCTTGTTCTTGGGACAAGATAGCTTCTGAACAAAAGTGGGTCTGTGGGGTTTTGAGGCAGCCAGGCCAAAGAAACCAAGGAGACTGAGGCATCTGATGGGCAAGGGGTGATGAGGGCAGGCCAGGTGGGCACACACTAAAGGCAGGCTCCTTGTACCCTTCCCTTACCCCTGTTGGAGCCCTTGGCTGCTCCAGGGAGGCTCTCTGCTGACCTTTTTCCCAGCCCCTCCTGGAGGCTCAATCCAGGCCCAATTCCCATGTCTGAACCTCTCCCCACACCAAGAAGATCCTCTCTTTTAATTTCCCACCAGGGCCACTCCCCTGGAAGTTGGTGCTGCTTAGTGGCTGAAATCACAACAGATGCTTCTGACGAACAGCAGGAAAACTGGTGATTTGCTGAGGTCAAGGGCTGGGTGACGGGATGCTGGCAGCACACTGTGCTCCCAGCTCCTCCCTGCTTCCAGCTTGGGCTGGCTCCAGCTGCTCGCTGAGCCTCCATGAAGCTGCATGAGTTGCAGTGCTGGGCCCCCAGCACAGCCTAGACATGAGTGTCACACTGCGGGAATCTCCAGTGCCCCTGGCTCTGTGGACTTCCTAGGGTGAGGAGGCCTGGCTTAGGAAGTAGTTCTGCCTGCAGGCAGAGAGAGCCCAGTACTGACAAGAATCCCTTGCCTTACGTGGCAGGGTGCCTGAGAAAATGCTAGGCGGCCTGGCCAGAGCTTACCCAAGGCAAAACTGCAAGTTGGTCTGGCTGGCAACCATGCTTCCTATTGTCCATTCCCCCCCACCCTCCCTCTTATTATGTCCCAAGACACATTTGGGGGTTGGGGATGCACCGCCGAACAACATTCCCCGTCTGCAGATTGACCATGCAGTCCCAGTGCTGGCTACATGTGAAGGAAGAAAGTAGTGGAGAAGTGTTCCCTGGAGCTGGGGCAGAGGTCATACAGCCCTGGGAGCCAGGAAAGCAGTGGTGCTTGCCACTCCACATATATTCCCTTCTTTCCTTCCTGTGTGCAGTTCTGGGTAATCAGACCAGAGCATCGTCTGTGCTAGGCAAGCTGCACCCTCAGTCTTCTATGTATATTTCATCTGACTCTTTGTTTTTATTTAAGTGTATGTTCACCTACAATTATGTAAATAGGAGCAGATGTTTTATAACCAGATATTTTGACTTTGTAATGTATCATGGACTTCTTTTCTTGGCAGTAGTATATGATGATCTCTCTTAGTTTTTAAAAATCTGTACAGTATTTTTATTCCTTGGATGTACCCATAATTTAAACATTCCCTTTCCAATGGCGACTAGTTTTTGCTGTTATAAACAGTGCTGTCGTAAAAATCCTTTAATCTACATCTCTGTATCCCTATCTGTTTCCCTATGACAAGATACGCTCATTACCAATGCCGATCCACACCACCAGCTCACCCTCTGGAAAGGTCTCATCGATTCACACGCGCCTGGCAGTGCGCAGGGCATGCACAGCATCCTTTTTAATCTCTGCCAGTCTGATAGGCAAAGTGGATCTCAGGTTTTCTTTGGATTTTTTTTTAATTAATGGTGAGACTGAGAGTCCATCCCTGAGTTTATTGGTCACCCTGTGTGACATAGATTCTGAAAGCTGCAGAACTCAATATGGGAACACAAAAAGCTGCAGCTACTCCAGGGAAGAGGCAGCACCTGTGCAGAGGCAGCACATGTGAGCATCATGGCTCTCTGGAAGTGCTACAGAGGGGTAGCTGATTATGGGATACATTGGAACACAAGGCAGACCAGGGCCAGATCCCAGGGCCCTGAATGTGACATGTGGCAGTGTAGGGCACCATCGATGGACCCCGGGTGTCCATTACATGCAGTTGACTGCCAGCCTACACCATAGTGATGGAGTGCCTGCCACCAAGAGCTCTTCAGGCAGAGCATCTCGCAGCCTTCTTCAGGCTGAGCTCCCTCAAGGTGTCTGCAGGTAGCAGGAATGGGTGTGGTATGGTCACATTCCCATGCAGGCGGCAATGTGGAGGAGTGGGAAGAGGAAGCTGTTAGACCACAGCCTAGATTTTGCTCTCAGCCCCATTGCCTTCGAGCTACCAAGGGTTTGCTTGTGTAGGATAGGGCAGGGTGGCATGCTGCTTCTCTGAACCTGGAGGTCAAGCACGAGCATGCCTACCTACCAGAGCTGTTGTCAGAAGGAGTGCAGCATTGTTGCAGTTCTGTGCCTGCTGCTGACAGGCAACATCTTGATCATCCACCATCGTGTGGGCTCTCACCCTGGCCTCAACTCTTCAAAAAATTTTTTTTCTGTATTTCAGTTTGTGACAGGGTCTCACTGAGTTACCCAGCCTGGTCTCAAAATCTTGATCCTCCTGCCTCAGCCTCCAAAGTAGCTGGGATTACAAGCATGTGCTACCACTCCTGGCTCTGAGATACTTAGGAGTTAATTTCTTCAACAAATCCATTGTTGGTAATAATAATCATGACACCTTTAATTCCTTCCACACTCACTGTTGTCAGACCCCATGTTAAACGTGTATTACAATTGATCTCCAACTCCTTACAGCAGTCTGGAAGAAAGTTCCCTTCGTTATATGCAAGAGCAATTGGAACCTTTCTGATCAGCATCTCAAGCCAAGGCTTGTTAAACCCTTTAAAGCCCCCATGTATTAGGATTATGTTAAAACTTCTAGTTTTTTCTAAGTACTGTCTCCTTGGCTCCAGTAAGCTGTGTTTTGGAGCACGCAGCATTGGTGTATGCTGGCTGCCCATGGGGACAGGTGGTCCAAGGCACTCTCCTTACGTTTCAGACAGGTGTGGCAGCCAGGCTGTCATCATCACCCTCCCACATGCTGCTGCTGCCCCCGATCACACTGCAGATTGTCACCTGCCCTATTGTGACCCTTAGACTGTGGCTTCTACCTCACAGGCCTGTATAATTTATGAAATACTTATTAGCTGTCTGTGCATACGTTGAGCTGTATTTGTGGATATGAAAATAGAACCTTTTAGAAAATTCCTTTTTAAAGCCCCCAAACATTAGGCTTATGTTAAAACCTCTAGGTCTTTCCGGTGCTGTGACATTTCTTGTTTTCATTTGCACAGCTTGGAGAGCAAATATACACTCATGGGTTACAGATTTATTTTCCATTCTCAGTTTTGTGGTTCGTGTCTTAGAATACTTACTTGAATTTGTTACTTTTCTTTATATCAAGCTTTTAAAATAAAACCTCGTTGGTGGAGACTGGTCCAGTGTAGGAGGAAGACCTGAGTCAGAGCCTCAAGGTGACCAGTTCCCAGCCCAGGCTCTAAGGTGGTATGGACTCTGTGAATCATGTTGGGGTGGCAGATAGTGGGTGCTTCTAAGTCACATTTCCTCTCCTGATTGGTAGTACCCTGCAAGAGGGAAATCCTTTCTGGAAGAGTCTTTTACAGCCTTTAATAAACACTCAGCAGGAATCTTTCATGTACTTAATATTGGTAATTTCGGCAATAAAGGAGGAATTATTTTTAATCCAGGTAATAATTTATACTACATATACAATGAAGTATATATTATCTCACAAAATCCAGCAATCTGCCAATATTTTGAAACTGTTCTAAAATTAGAAACTGGAATCCATAGAGTTGACAAACCATGAAGATAATTTATCTGTGTGAAGGAAAAGAGAAACAAAGGTAGATTTGCTATTTTCACTGAGAATTGACGATAGGTATTGGACTGGTTTCAAATTATTTCAGGTAGCAAAGAAGGCCTATGAAAGAGGTGGGTGTGAACATGTTGGTTAGAAAGTTTATCTAGCAGGTTTCCCTCTTTGTTCCTTTTATAAACTCCCTTTTATTCTTTGATTTACTTTTTTTAAAAAATCTTAAACTACAAAAGATGGGGCAGCTGGGAAGCTTAATATATAGGGCCAAGTTGTAATGTCCCACTGTCATTCTGCTTTTTTAAGTAGCAACGTCAGGTACTGATATTATATGAGCTGGTGGTATTTGGGGTTGTGGATC